AAAAAAAGGAAAAGAAAAAAAAAAAGAAAGAAAGAAAGAGCTGCTGACTGCTTTGCTTAGATGCGCTGTTATCCGAACCCCTACAGATTTGGGTGGCCTGGCAATAGAGGGGTAACAGCTGTCCGCAGGTTGAGGTGCTGTTTTGTTACCTTAGCAGCTTAGGCTGGAGGATGCGATGAGGGCTGAACGGAAGGTTGGCGGTCCAGGTCCGGGAAGGGACGAAGCATGCACCACTCCATGGTCTCAAGACCCAATTCCAGTTGTTGAGCTCTTCAAAGACCAAATATATCTTATAAATCGAGGGATGAATCTACAAACGACTGTTTTCACACCCTCGCACAATGCGTTGAAGTTTTGTCACGCAGTGTCTCTGGCTTTTTGCAGATTCGCTACGCTATCAGCGCAGGCGGATTTACAGGGAGTTACAGGGAGCTGTGCAGCTAAGGTAACCTTCCCCTCGAACAGAACATCACGCAGGGGCAATGAGGTGACAACCTCTTTCTATCCAAACACAAGTCCACGACAAAGTAAGAACCTCATCTCCTCCTGAACAAGTAAACAACATCTCCCAACGTCTCAAGCCTCAGACCTACACTAAGCGCCCAATATCAGTCAATCAAAACAGGCGCAAGGCACTGCACTGCCTCCCGCTCTCCTGTCCCCCTGTTCGTCCAACCTCTAACTGGGCCCTGTAAGCCAGCCAATCATTGGCCTCAACTCCTATCGATTCGTCAAACAACCGCGCTTCCAGATTGTTTCACATCACCACCCTGTCTGTCTGTCTGTCACTTGTCAACTTTATGCGTTCCTTTCCTTGTTTAGAATGTGAGCCTGACACAAGGAATTGGGAAACAAGAGAGAGTCAAAAAGTTTAAAGTCGTGTTTGGGCCCCCCTTCCCTTTCGTCGCGGGTAAAGAGAGAAATGTTTCCTTTCTTGCAGTGGCTTTGTCACTAATTGTTCGGTTTTCCACGTTCTTTGTTTCTTTTTGGTTTCTGCTGTGTATGGCGTATAGTCCTTCATAAGTTGGACTGTCTTTTCGAGATTATACATTTTTGTGTTTTTTCCCTTATTTTTTTCCTGTTTTTTTTCTCTCCCTTTTACTATTATGTCAACAACCGTCATTTAACTGCACAATGTTCTCACCACCAAACTGCACCGCCATCCCCCCCTCAGCACCCAGCGACGCAGGCATCGCGGGCGCAGGTGTAAGTCTATATCCTTCTTCCTCTTATCCTTTTCCAAATCTAACCCCCCTCGCTAGGTCCTAATCTCCTCCTCCCTAACCGCCACCATCGCCCTCCTCCTCTCCGCCTCCTTAATCCTCCAATCCACTTTTTCTTCTAATTCCCGCCCCTCCACCATCCGCCGCAAGCTCCTCGCCTCCTACTCCGACCAGCAAATCCTCATCGGCATCACGCTGCAATCGCTCGGTCTGGCGCGCTCTTCGCACATCATCCCCTACCACTTCTTCATCATCTGGATGCTTTCCCTACTATCCATGGCCACGCACAACGCCACTCTCCTGGCGCTGGTCCAGGACTTCAAGAGGGATTGGGTACTGAGGTGGATGAGACAGGGCTTAATGTTTGTCAATCTGGCGCTGAGTTGTGTGTATGGGGTGGTGGTGTTGGAAGGGAAGAGGAAAGGGTGGGAGGGGACGATGCCGGTGGGGTGTATATGGGCTGTTGATTCTGTGAAAGGAGAGGATAATAACAATGGGAAGGTAGTAGCGGGGGGATTGGACTACGTAGGCACGATCGTGACGATTGCTGGGAACGTGGTGGTGTTTGGGTTGGCGACGTGGTACTTGCAGAGTAGGAGGCAAAAGTGGTATAGGATCGTGCAGCTGGTGGGCATGCTGTTGATGATGGGGATCGCGGTGGGTGCCGCCGTGAGGGTGTTTTTGCTGTCGCAGGCGTTTGGGAAGCCGGATGTGCAGCTGAGTGATCAGGGGGAGAAGCAGTTGGGGTTTGGAAGCTTGTTGGGCCTGTTGATGATGGCCTTGCCGATCATATCGATCATTGAGATCAAGAGAGGAGAGGTAATGGTGGCGCCGCCGTTGAGGGATGATGTGTCTGATGATGAGAAACCATTGGTATGAAATTTGAAGTCGATGAAACGGCGGGAGATTCTCATGGTGATTCCGTGGCCTGGGGAATCTGTTCGCTTGGAAATTGGAAGAAAACAATTGGCGCAATTTTATCCCGGCCTAATCTCCGGCAGTCGGACGTCCGATGGTACGGACACGGGATGGATGACACCTTCCTATCGAAGTACTTTAGCCTGCAGGTCCGGGCGGCCATCAATTGGTCGAAACCGGCGTGACTATACCGCGTAATAAGCTCTCTCCATGATAGAGATAGATGAAGTCGTGTATGGCAATATCCAGCTTCCGTTGTAGGAAGATAGGACTAAGAGTTAATTACAAATTCTGAAGCTTTGGGGCTCCCAACAAGCCACGCTGGTCGAGGACAAACGAGTAAGACACAATTCAATGGAGTCTCTGATATTTCCAAGAAACTCCCGAGCCACAGTGAATGATATGAAGCTCGAAATACACGAGTGTACTCATGTTTGAAGTTCATCAAATCCTTCAACTTGGCGGTGAAACCGCCTTGTGGTATCGGTCAACGCATTGGAGATTCTCACCTGCAATCAATTTACATCACAGCCATTCACACCGTAACATCAGGATGAAGTCCAGACATACGACTCCAGACGACAAACAACATTGGTAGCGGGCACTGGATGACGATCGTGCGTTCTCCTTGCAACGTGGCACACAAGGCAAGTCAAATCAGGGTAGCAAATGGCCAGTCAAGGCAAGTCGTGGGGAACTTGCATATTGCATGACCTCCTTTTTTTGGCAGACATACCCAACCGACATGTTGAGTGTACGTTTTAGTACGTTGACCCGGATGAAATTGCAGGCATAGATAGACTGAAGTCAAACAAGCTAAAGCAGGTAGGATAACGAGTCAGGGCAGTTCAACCCCTAACTCACCTTGTCTTGGCTGTTTCCTTGTTCGTGAAGAAGCACGGTCGTTGTGCCTTCCCTATAAAAACGGTAAGAGCTCATCAAGCCCTTCCCCTCCGAAACCATCACTGTACACAGAGTACTTACCTACCTACTATCTTCCCCTTCATCACCTCACTTGTGAAACAGAACTCCCATCAGCAACCATGCGTCTGTCTCAACTCGCCGCCACTCTTCTGGCCGTAGTAGGCAACACGAACACCGCCTTCGCCAAGCCCGTTCAGTCTCGAGACACTGTATCAGCCGAGTACTGCGACGCCTCCACCGACATCTGCTACTCCGAGTTCATCAGTCCCGAGAAGATCGCCTACCGCTTTGCCATCCCCGACAACGCCACCGCCGGCAACTTTGACATCCTGTTGCAAATCGTTGCTCCCAAGACCGTCGGCTGGGCCGGTCTAGCCTGGGGAGGCGTCAGTAAGTCTTTTTTTTTTTTTTTTTTTTTTGTTGTCCCTCTCCTCCATCCCCCCATTTTCACCTGCCACCCGCAATTCCAATCTCTAATGCTCATATGAAAAGTGGTCAACAACCCCCTCCTAGTCTCCTGGCCCTACCAATCCACCATTGTCGTCTCCAGCCGCAAAGCCTCGGCGCGCACCTACCCCCAGGTTTCGAACGACGTCAGCTACAAGGTCCTCGCCGGCTCCGGAACCAACGCGACGCACTGGACGCTCAACGCGCTCGCCCAGGGCGCGAGTGCGTGGGGGACTACCAAGTTGGATCCTAGCAGCAACGCGGTTCCGTTTGCTTATGCGCAGTCGGCGTCATCGCCGACGAACCCGGCGGATGCGGCTAGTAGGTTTAGTATGCATCAGAGCAAGGGGAGGTGGAGCCATGATTTGGCGAGTGGGCGGATTGCGAACTTTGCGAGTGCGGTGGAACAGCTTGAAAAGCCGGAGGAGGAGGAGGAGGCGAAGTAGGTAGGTAGGTAGGTAAGGTAGGGGAGTGTGCCAGGATTGAGTGAGGGCTAGAAGGATTACGATGGTGACTTGACTGCATTGAGGAGAGAGGAAAGGAAAGAAAAAGAAAACACAGAAAAATGGTGGCTAAGATGAAGTACCCGTGTTGGGGAGTTGGTTGCATGCCTACAGACCTGTTTGGTTCGGCAGATGTTAGCTGGGTGGTATGTATGGTAAAGAGAGAAAGATGGAAGAGAAGCGTTTCCCAACAAGAGATACACGAAAGATCTGTCTGCATAATAGACTTATCTCGTAGATAGGTATCTATCATATGTGTCCAAAGCGTACTTGGATGTGTGCCAGGCATCAGGGGTATTAGGCAAAACCCATTGCAATGGAGCGGCGATCCCGCTTGCACTACCCCTTCGATATGCCTTCTGATGTAAGCGAGCCCTACCTACCTTCAGGTAACACAACCAGCTCTTAGCTACCTACCAGTTAGAGATTGATCATAGAGTTATCAGTGAGTCATCGAGCCCAACGAGTGATCAGACGGGCTTAGGGGTCGAAATCCCAAATAACTTGAGGTGGAAGTCTGTAGTCAGCCTGGTGTTTGATACGTTTTTGTTGGCACGTTATGCTCTTTCCCCCCGCCTTTTAGATAGTATACCAAGTATGGAGGTACCCAAGTAAACTGTCGAACTAGATTCAGCTAACTGCGTCGGCCTTTAATATTGGTGTACTTCAATGGTACTAGCAAAGGACAGACCTAAGGGAAATCTAACCGATGATATAGGCAAATAAGCAAAGCATATCAAACACATACGACCATACCCACTGGAAAACTCGGGATCCCGTCCGCTCTCCCATAGATAAGCCAGTAAGGGCCTGACTAGTAGTTGGGTCGGTGACGACCAGCGAATCCCAGGTGTTGTATGTTTTTTTGTTAGTTTTCAGCTATTTTCTTTTTTATTTTCAGTTTAATTTCTGGACATGCGAATAACGCTTTGTTGTGATTACGGGCTTGTACTGACTTTATCGTGTCTGTCTCGAGGTGACGATTGCTCCCGATGTTCCCCTATCTGGGGACGGGTATGAAGACGAAAGTCGTGATCGAAGAAGTGATTGTCGGAGGGAGGTGGACTCAATCGGATGCCATGAATTGTAAAGAAGGGATGTTTAATACCCGCCTGGAATCGTGAAGAAGGTATTTAACTATGGAAGTGTCACGCAAGCGAGTCACGCAAAGAAAGTGCTAACATTCCAAGTTCGGCGTGCCGGTTAGTTTGAGTGAAGGGCAATGCCCATTGGAAAGGAAGGAATCAAGATTCCAGTCGGCTTATAACATCCGGGAACTGAAGCAACTGAGAAACGGTGATATCGAGCCCGGGTTCTGGGATAATGATTTATGAAATGACGCTTTTGAGGGGTTAAGTGGTTGTGGCCTAGTGCTCGATTTTTGGTGTTCGAGGAGCCGTGATCCCGTCGACATAGATGAGGTGCCCCGAGACAGATGGGCCGGCCGCGCCTGCAGCGCTATCACGTCACAAACAGGCACAGCCCTACAGCGGCCCAGGCTATTCCCGCAAGCGCTAAAAGCCCTGTAACCTACTTCAACATTCTGTTCCCTACACCATCGGTCCAGGTCAGATACCTCCCCCGGCATCCTCTTGACATGCTCCAACTCACAATCCCTTGGTTGCCTTCCACCTTAGGTAGTCCTACATCCCTCTCTCAACCTCCAAAATAGCCACCGAATCATCGTTCTTGGAATACCTGGTATCATACAGCCCGTTCAACGTGGAACCACCGCTCGATCCCCCGTACCACGACCTTACAGGTACCTCCTTTCTCTGCTGCTGATTATTGTCATCCTGCAAAACCTCCATGGCCACGATCTCCCCACCATGCCTCTTCTTCTTCTTTTCCCTTGTAAGCTTGGGCACCAAAAGTCGGATGAACGGTATCGAGGCGCCTATGACTGTGCAACTGACTTCGACCGAGTTCAAAGCGATTCCCAGGCCGGCTGCGTAGAGTTCTTGTTGGCCGAGGAAGAAGGTTTCGTAGGTTTTGATGACTTTGAGGATTGCTACAATGCCGGCTCTGGAGAGATGGGGGAGTCGGTGGGTTAGCGACTGGCGATTGCTACTTTTTCAAGCTAGGTACGTTGATGGACACGCTGGAAAAAGAGGAAACTCACAGACATCCTGTGCTCATAGCACAGATGATGGCAATCTTTTGCTGGCGCTGCATTTGAAGCTTCCATACCACGAGTGTTGGGACCATAGATAAGAGGAAATCCTATCGGAAGAAGGATAAGACAGTCAGCAACGAAAGTGGACCTAACATCTCCAAGTGTAGCTATCATAATCAAGAACAAACAAAGGGAAATGCCAGGACAGCTTACCGTAAGAGCAGCTAAAGCACACGCAGCCAAAGTCATGGGCACGGTTATGTTGTGCGGAACGCAGTGTTTACTATCATCCTCATTCAAGAGCGCGACCAAGACGCTCCCGCATTGGGCAAAGGGCTGAACGATGGAAAGAGAAAAGAGAAAGACGGAGCTGGTGGTCATAGCGATCCAAAGCACCGTCTTCTGCGTCTTGTTTCTCACCAGCCGAAGAAGCGTGATGAAAAACGAGAGCTTGGAAACCCAGCAGATGGTGATGCCCGTGAACAGCAACGGAAGTTGAATCATGTGGTTTTTGTCAAACATTGGCAAGTAAATTTGTTTGCCTAAACTTTTGATGTCGCTCGTGTGGAAGCCGAGCCCGTATTTGGTGTCGTAGAGGGCGAGGACGATGTAGGCAGTGGCTATAACCTTTTGTTTTACATGTTAGCTTTGGGCGTTCTTCAGGCTCTGGTGGGAGAGACTTCCTTACCCAGGCAAAAAGTAACACCCAATCATCAAGAAAGTACTTGGTCTTTGAAAGACGCTTTGAGTAGAATCGCAGGGACATGCAAATAGTGGCAATGAGGTGAAAGACAATCATGCTGCTAGCCATGGTCGGTACGGCAGTCTCGACCATCCTGCCCGTATCCCGAGTGGTTGAGGCATCATAGCAGATGAAGACCGTAAGTGATAGAGTCAAGACAAATTTTTGCAGTGTTTGGAATAGAGAACTGGGCGTGGAGGTTCGAACAAACCCATTCCTGAAAGCCAAACTGATGGAAGTACGGTGCATTATAAGTTGAACGGTTCGAGAACCGTGATTTAGTTGCCTGGAGAGGAACTGAAACCATAAGTGAAAGGGGGTTGCGCATCTCCCAGTCGATCTACATATTCATAAGCTGTCCTCATTGCTGGAGATATTGCAAGCAAGTTTCACATGGACAAAATGGGTTTTGTTTGAGAAGATCTTGATTTTTCCTCAAAAAGACCAAAAACAAACAAACTGGCAATCCCAAGCCACAACTCGTTATCACTCAGCGCTTTCTCGACAATGCTGCATTCCGGACATCGGAAAGTCGATATTGGTATCTTTGGTTGAAGGACGATCAACGCACCTGTAGTGGTTTCGCAAATTTGCCTACAACTTTGAAGTGTTGCGTTTCTGTCTGTTTTGCAATGTTGACGAATGAACTTACATGCTCAATCTCGAAGAGGGTCGGGCCTCCTAATAGTAGTCCCAATTTTTGGTGTTTCCGATTATCCTAGGTAGGTACCTTTGAGAATTTACATGTTAAGGGCGCGCCATGCTACCTACCAACTCTTCCACTTCAGGGATTCGGCAATCACGTTCTTCGCCGTCTTCCTCGACATCCATTTCAACCTACACGAACCTGTCCAGGCCAGCTGCGCGCAGCCATGAGTAAGTACACATATAGAGACACTAGATAAAAAGACTCATGTGACCGTTTTCACCCAGCATTGGATTCCGGATTATTGAAAAAGTGCACTTGAAGAAGAAGGTGACGGAGATGCCTATAGTAGGGGTTTAGAAAGAGATTGAAATGAATGGAAAGCTTATCAAGAGTATAGCCGTTCATTGTGGTCAAATTTTATCACTAGGAATATCTAGAAAACTACGGTAGATAGAAATTCAGTCTAGACTCCGCTCCGGGACACTTGGTTAATAAGAACCGTACAGGTGGGTAGGACCGACCTAATGTGCAGTAATTGTAGGCAGGTGCAGCCTGTAGACGGCTCTGCAGCTTTCCTCCCGAGCTCGGGCAGGCAGGCAACCCCCATGGGCCGCCTACTATAAGCCCTGTAATTCCCGTCGCTTGGCAGCCACTTCCTCCGTCAGCGCTTCCACTCGAGCTCTTGAACTTGGTTTTCCATCTTCCACAACAGATCAAACCATGGGAGACACTCAGCAATATCATCAACCTTCATCGGGTTTGGAGACAAAATGATCTTCATGTCGACTTCACAATTGATTCGAGCATGGCCCTATATTGATTGGAGTAGCTAGAGAGCAGTTCAGTGACTGTTTTTGGCGATGAACAAGGTGAGTCGATCGCGCGGAACTTCCAGACCCAGGGCGCATCCTCCACCAAACGCCTGCCACGGCTAATTGAACATCTATCATCCATTGTCTCCTACAATGCCCTCACACACAACTCTCTAGTCCATTTTCGTTCTCAGACTTCCGACCTCAACTACCTTCATAGGCGTTATGAACTCCGACCCAATACCTGCGCACGCGACAAGACGGCCGCGGTATCTCCCCCGTCTAGCGTTCGTTGACGTACCCCAATAATCTTTGGTTGTTGCAGCGCTTCGAGATAACAAGTTGACCCAATGACCACGTCGTCGAAAGATGGCGTGACAGTTCGGTCTTCCCCGCACACATCGATGTCCGGTTCGTTTACGATGATATCCCGACAAGAGACTTCCATCACGAAGGGCTTGTACGCAAGAGCGATTGGCGAAGAGAAAATGAAGCGAGCCAGAATTCTACAGATACGGGAGATGGAGATGGGGGCTGTTACCATCTGCCACATCCACAAGTTGGTAGCATTGATATCAATTTTGGTCCAGTTTCAGGTTCGGCCACAAGCTCATGCAACACACAATGATGGCCTAATGGCTGGGTTGATTTCTTTCCAAGGCAATTTGAAGACATGTTAGGGAAAACGTTGAGAATGCAATAATGCTGCGGGGCTTTCTTGTCAAAAAGCCCAACCCAGGACTGGATTGGCGCCGAGGGGGAGGCGACCAGCCATCTTATGCTCGACCGAAGAAGCATTTCCGGGACCGAAGCAAACACCAGAATTATATCGATATCTATCCCCCTGCCGTCAAGTACCGGGTTGATGTTTGCCATCGCCAGCCATGGGTGACTTCTCAAAACCTGTCAACAGTTAGCCACCCGAGTTAGCACATGGTCATCTGCGGCTTGTTCCGAGGCATCAGCAGCAACAAGCTGAACAAGGTGAGCCAGATCCCAGCGAATTCTTCACCTCGCTAATAATAGCAAACCGCAGTCCTGCGTTGCCTCACAGATCCAGCACGCCATCATGATTGCTCGGGACGTCCAAAGCTTTTCCTAGTCCTGTACCGCGTCGCCCTTAGAAACTGACCCGACCTTCTAAGGGGGCTGTTATTGACCCTCCAGACGGGCCTTCACACCCGGGCAGTCAAATGCCTACAAGTCAATCCCAACCCAATCGAGCAGACTAATCATCCTTCAATGCCCTGTGCCCCCATACCCGCATAATGGTCATGTCACGACACACCTCAATAAATTAGCGCCTCCTCAGCTGTCGCCTTGTATAAATGTACACAATGTTGGGAGTACTTCTCTCCGTCTGCGAGTTACAGGTCCGTCAACACACACTCAGAAAGGCGGGGGGATACTAAACCATGGCCTGCATGGCGCCGAAGAAGGCTGTCATTTTTTTTTCTTTTTGCGGTCATTACACTGCTTCTATAATCTCTGGGGCAATGGAGGGAGAAAGAGGTTTCCGGAACTTGCCATCATCTCGAGGATCATTTCTCGCGGAGAAAGCTTCTACTTCGCGCCTAATCTAGTCTTCGATACCGAAACAGTACTCAAATAACAGGTGACTTCCCCCAGGGCCGGCATATTCCGCGCGATGACAGAGTCTGCAGACTGCACGTAAGTTCGGCTAGGTAGCTGATGTCGTTCCCAAAATTATTTTGTTTGCTTACCCCTACCAATAGATAGCCGGAAAGTAGTCAGCCACTTCGAAATAGTTCATGTTTGCCTTTTTTTCCCTTTTATACGAAGCAGTAGCTCTTGAATCGAATCTCCCACCCGGGGTACGGGAGTTTCCAGGCTCCATGAAGCTTGGAACCCCCCGAGGCCTCTCGACAGCGTCTGGGTACCGAGAGCATAGGTACCGGTTCAAATAAACCATTCTTTTTGAGAGTGCATAGTTCATACAAAAGGTCCCTGTTCTTGGGGATGATTGAGTGTGTTCTTAGGTACCTAATCAAAGGCCCACCCAAGGCATTCCTCTGGCAGGGATACCGTACCGTGCCGAACCTACTGAAGGGTTGTTCTTGAAGTTGCATTTTGCATCGTTCATGCGCAAGCGTACCTACCGCGTTTTAACTCCGTCGAGATTTGGTGAAGATATTCCTGCTAATTCTAGCGCGTACCGGGAATGTGTAGGTATCTAGGCGCCCTCCTCGTGAGCAGAAAGTCACGTAGGTCACTTGACTTGTCTTCAATGGTTATACTATTTCCAACTTCCTGCATAGGAAAACAAGCGCGCGGGTTACCGCAAAAAGATGACTCTAGAGGTACCTTCAGTTAGTACCCTAATCAAGACAACAACCACCGTAACTGCCACACTCCGAACGAAGCCTCTCTCCCGTCCATAGGTACCAGACGCCGGCCGGATCTCACGCCGTCATCTTTGTGCAACCGTCGCACGACATGATACATACCTAGGTATGTTACGATGCGGTTAGGTCCGCACAACTCAACCTGCACATGAGATCTTGTACGACAGACAGACACCGGGAAGACCGTTTGTCTCACACTAGGTACAACTATCTACGTAACGGCGCATTTACCAGCCATTTGGGCATGCTGCTTGGAAGTGCCCGAGTAAATTGACACCTGCCGACGGACTGAATTCGTTTATGGTCTGGTCTGGGCGAGAGGAGAGACATCATGGCTGGGCGGCGAGCAAAAAAAATTATAAAGAAAATTTTATCAAGACGAATCTACTTAGGTACGCAGTAGAGTTACCATAGTGTCCGAGAAGTCAAAGAAAGAAAGTACCTAAGTACAGGTAAGTATATCAGGCTGACGTTCTTTGTTTCATACCTACCTAGAGGTAGCTAGAGCTGCTGCGGGCATGGCTTTTGTACCTAGTCACAACTACTCAAAGGTTTACTACAATCCAATGAATATAACTCCCAATGCATATATGAGGAAACGAACGGCCAGCGATCCGTCATGACAGTGGCGGAGGGACTGACTTTAGCGCTCGCTGGCTGGCTGACTTTGATGGAAGTAAGCTAGCTAGTTGTACGATCACCGTTAGGATAATTGGTTAGAGTAAGGGTGAGGGTAAGGTAGGTATTAAATACCAATTGTACTATACCAATCTGTCCTGGACTGGTGTAGTTTAAGTCGTATGTTGGACAGTCGTTAGAACTTGCACAGCGCAAGATTAAAACCCCGAAGACTGGCAATGCTGTTTCGGTCCTTGAGATTTGGGTTGAGACAGGTCAATAAGGCCCGAAATACTTCGGAGGTTAAATCGGCCATGGGCTAGGGCTGGTGTTTGCTATAGGAGTTCACATGCAGAGGATCGTAACGGTCATATATGTAGGGTACTAGGTAATTGGATTGGAGTACCTACCTACCTATGTAATCACTTGATCAGCGGCCGTTGAGATACATGCTAATGTTATTGGGTTAAAACTACTTTGCTTCTTCTCCTCATGGTACACACACACTTTGTTCTGAGGGAGGCCAGTGCAATAATCGACAACTCCGGTCGGGACCGCGGCGCGCGCCGGGGGGTGTGTGCGTGTGTGTGTGTGTGTTTCACAACACCCAATCATCGCCGTGGCGTTTCTATCCCTTGCAGCCAGCAAGCCGTCTTGGACGATTGCGCAACAACTACCTACCATACGGTTTCCCAGGTATTTGGTTAAAGTTTGTTTGCTGTGATGGTACATACCTAGAGATACCTAGTCTATGTGATCATATTGTTTTTGCTCGGCTATTGTTGGCGCATCTGGCCTCGCTTAAAGACATGTGTAATTCTGGAAGGTCGTTGCGAAGAATACCTAATTTAGGTACCTTGGCGTAGGGATCCATCGAACAAGTGTACATAGTAATGACGGGCGTTTAGGTAGTTGCGGGCCAAGACAAAAAAATGTTAAAGACTGGTAGATGTTGTACTGTGTAGGCTGTCGACAGTCGAGTTCTTTGTTTGCTACATATGTATGCCCACCACCCCCCATCGCATCAGGCTAAGCTCGCCGCCGCTCACTTGTCGTTCTGAGATTATGGATGGGTAGGTAGCCATTTGATTGAACACTTTGTTATTCTTGTGGCTCACTCGGAGAATGCAAGCCCACGCACGGCATTCGTTCTTCGTGAGAAGGCGGCAATCCGGCCATCGGGCGGCCTTTTTTTTTCTTTTTTCTTTTTGCGCCACAACGCTCGGTTCGTTGGCGTTGTCTTTGTTCTTCGGCTCCAGTCCTCGAGCGAGTCCGCAGATCAGTTCTTTACATTCGACGGTTGCGGGAGTTTGTGAGTTGCGTACAATCGGCTTCTTCAACGGTGCGGCAGGTTTCGTCGACAAGTAGAATATGACAGCCCCCCCCCCCCCCCTCTTTTTCCCTATCTATCAGGTAAAGGCGAGAAAGGCTAAACCGACTGGCTAGGCCCGATCTTCAACTCACTGTAGCAAACAAGACGTGAACCCTATGGATGGATAAGGAGTGCCCGGGCAGCCAATGAGCTTCATGATGTAGCTTCATTGCACCGGAACTTCCCAGACGGACTGATGGAATAATAACAGCATGGGAGATGGGTAGAGGTAGGGCTGCTTTCACTGACTTTGATTATAAAGATCGTGGGTACCTACTCGTTGTCTTTGACACCTTTGATCTTCTGGAAACATCAGTCAGTGCCGGCCAACAACATTTGACGTGCCCCTTGCAAAACCATCAGACTCAGACATACTCATCGCAGAGTAGAGTCAACGAGAGAGAGCTTTACCAAAGATGTCCAAGACCATGATACCGGCGTTGTTCGCCGCCACGATCCCCTTCCTCATCTTATCTATTGTCTTTGCATGCCTGAGGTTCTACTGCAAGCGACCCAAACAGGCCAAATTCTTTGTAGACGACTATCTGTTGATCATTTCTTGGGTATGTCAACAACACTCCTGTCTCTCCAGTGTCAGAAGAAACGTTAGTTACTAACACTCGTGCGTGACCTTGTCAAAGTTTCTTTTGTTTGGTCAAACCGTCATCATCCTTTGGTCAACGCAATACGGACTGGGAATTCCTCCTGCCAAGCTCGACATGAAGAAAGTTCCCACCTTGGTCGCCTGGACGCCCACGGCACTGTTCCTGGCTCTCAACGCAGCAGGCCTGTCGAAACTGTCCTTCTTCATCACCTTGATTCGAATCTCTTCGAAGCGATGGCAGAAAATCGCTCTTTGGGTGGTGGCGATTCACTCCACCATCTTGGTGGTCGGCACATCGGTCCTGGGATTTGTCGACTGTAATTTCTATCGGAGAAAAGACCCGCTGCATCATGATCATTGCGTCCCCGAGAAGGTCGGTAAGATCTTGGCTCTCACCGTCTTGATGCACGGGGCTATCGTTGTGAGTAAAGTCCGCTGGAGGATATGTTAGCTCTTTAAACTGATAGGAAGTGTCCCAGGAATTCTGTTTATCCTTCGTGCCCGCCATGTTGCTGTGGAACTTGGAAATGAAGCGGCGAGAAAAGATCGGTCTCATCTGCGCAATGAGCCTAGGATTCATGTAAGTGACAGGTGGCCAGCTCACGTCGTCGTATGCCGTTGCTAACATTGAACTGCGCTTTATAGTTCCAGTATCCTAGCAGCGCTAAAGACAAAAGACCATTGGAAGGCCGTTTTTGGGGGTACGGGAATGCCTAACACGTATATCCTCGGACGCGAGGCAGTGTTTGGGATCACGGAGGTGTGCATGACCATCATCGCCGCCTGTATCCCTTTCTTGCGCCCGTTGCTGCACAAGTTTGTGGACGGCAAAGGAAGGGTCGAGATGCCGTTGGCGCTGAAGAACATGGCTACAGACAGTAGTAGTAACGGTGCCTCTGACATGGGGCACCCGCACACTCGGCTCGGAAGCTCAAGCACCTTTACGACGACGAAACATGGTGGCGCTCGAGAGGAGGATGCTGTTGCCATCCTCGAGGCTGAAAGTGTGGCAGACCATGACAGCCAGGATGCAGAGTCCAACGAATCAGGAACCATTGTGTGCAAGACTAACGTGAGCGTACAATATAGACCTAGAGAGGTACACGAGGGGGAATGCCGAGGTCATTGTGAAGTTGGTGTATCTGGGCCAGGTGAAAACTGATATCCGGGGGCAGTGGTGGGTGTTCAAGGAGGTCAACATGTATGTCAGATCCCTCTTTCAGTGCTTTCAACGTGTAACCCGAGCGGCAGTTGGTCGTCTGTTTTGAATCTGTCTGGGTATAGACTTCCGATCGGACGGGGTTTGGTGATGTGGTACGTTTTGCTCCCAACTCGGTTTCAGGCACACACTGTAAGGTCGCCGTAGCAGCAGTGAGAGGAAGCTTATCTCCGGCAGCGTTGAGATGGGAAGGGGACGTGAGATGCTTGGGGGGACAAGATGGAATGGGATCGTCGCGAATCCGGGGCCATGGCGCGGGGTAAGAGTCTCGGGCTATGCAGCCTTACCCCCTCGGGTTTCCCCAATCGAGCCAAGTGTTGAAGCTATTGGGGAGCAAAATCCGGGGTAATTCCCCACCTTTCCCCGGGTTCAGTCATGCCATGCTTTCCAATAAAGTGACCACCAATGAGCCATCAGTTCAGCCATACATAAGACGAGATACTCCAACCAGCAGTCTTTACCCAATCGCCCTAGTCTACCGACCCTCCACGAACGAGAAGCTATGAATGTCCTCAGATTCGATAGCGCTTCCATCCCCAGGCTTGGCAACTTCATGTCGGTTGTCTTCCTGCCCTGCTTTGGGTAAAATCTCGGGTAAAGGTTGGGGGAGAATGAGGGGAAATAGAGTTAGGTGGGGGGTAAGAAAGGGAAGCCATTCCAGAAAGTGATCGGCACCGGTTGTCATCATAGGCTTTTTCTTGGGAGAACATCCCTTAGTAAACGTCGAATGACCAGCTGAAACCATGGTATGTATGCCAGACGATATCCGGGTGAAGAGAGCCAGATGGCTGGTTCCGTCGGATGAATAGATGATGACGCAGGCTACATATACCGTCGGCGTCCCTGTCGGTGTATCCTGTCATCCGCCTCAAGCATCTGCCCTATTCGTTGAGCTTGCGGCCTTGTACGACTTGAGATAGACAGACAGACAGACAGCCGAGAAAGAGAGAAAGAGATAATACCTCTAGCTCATCACTAGGCAGGAATGGTGTAGCCATCAACCAACCACTCCTTCCCGTCTTTTCAGTCCTGTCCACCATCATCGACCACATCCTCTACCACACTCCTTCTTTTTTCCCTTCTTCCTCCTGCACCTCTAACCCATCCTTCGCCCTCAAAATGGGCCTCCCAACCAGCACCACTACCTCAAAGCCCTCCACGACAGGCACAGGCACAGGCACAACACCTCCCAACCCCAAATCCAGCATGGAACCCTCCAAAGACGAACTCGACCTAGTATCCCCCACCAAATCCAACAACCTCAACCCGACATCGCTGAACGACCCCTGGACCGCCAAATTCACCTCCGCCTCCCCCGAATGGCACCAACACACCAACAAGACCCTCCTCCGCAAAATCGACCTACACCTCCTCCCCTTTCTCATCCTCATGTACCTCCTCAACTTCCTCGACCGGTCCAACCTCGCTCAAGCGCGCCAAGGCACACTGGAGACCGACCTCGGCATGTCCGGCACAGACTTTAATCTCGCCACGTCCATCTTCTTCGTTGCCTACTTACTCATGCAGTTGCCATCCAACATGCTGATTACGCGACTTCGGCCATCGATTTATTTGTCAAGTGCAATGGCGCTGTGGGGAGCGGTGAGTGCGTGTAATGCCGCCAGTCAAAAGTTTACGCATTTGTTGGTGGTCCGAATCTGTTTGGGGATTGTCGAGGCGCCGTTTTTCCCCGGAGCGGTGTTTCTGATGAGTAGTTGGTATAGTCGGGCGGAACTGACGAAAAGGATGGCGTATTTCTATAGTGGGAATGCGTTGGCGAATATGTTTGGGGGCGTGATTGGGGCGGGGGTGTTGGGGAATTTGGAGGGGGCGAGGGGGGTGAGTGGGTGGCGGTGGTTGTTTATTATTGTGAGTTTTCCCTTGCTACAGGATGGTGAGGGATGGGGACTGACTGAGACGACAACAGGAAGGAACAATCACTGTCGCCGTCGCCTTCGCCGCTGCGTTTGTCCTGCCCGATTATCCCAACACCACGCGCTGGTTGAGCGAAGAGGAGCGGGCGTATGCCTCGTGGCGCTTGTTGGCTGATATCAACGAGTCGGACGACCAAAACAGTCGCTCGGTTTGGGACGGGCTGAAGCTTGCGCTCAGGGATTACCGGCTATACCTCTTCGTTCTGCTGCAGCACTTGTCCCTGCTCAGCCAGACGTTCCAGTACTTCTTCCCCAGCATCGTGGGCACTCTTGGATACGGCACGATCGAGACGCTGTGGTTGACGGCTCCCGTATGGTTCGCGACCTTTTTGATCTCCGTCTGTGTGACGTGGACGAGTTCCAAGACGGGCGATCGCAGCTTGCATATCTTCTTCTTGATGTTGCTGGCCGCGGTGGGGAATGCGGTGGCGACGGGCACGACCAAGGTGGGAGCGAGGTTCTTTGCCATGTTTTTGATGCCCATGGGAGCAGTTTCTTCTTGTGAGTAGTTTCTTTTGTTGCGTTATCGTAGTTCCTGGTGAAAAGTGAGACTAACAGACGCCAGATCAAATCATCTTGTCGTGGGTTGCCAACTCGTTCCCTCGTCCTATGGTCAAGCGCTCGGCTGCTGTGGCTATTGCCAACATGTTTGGCAACACGGCGAGTATTTACGGGTCGTACATGTACCCGGCATCGGCGGCGCCACAGTACATACCCGGAGGAAGTGCGAATTCTGTAATCTGCCTTTTGGTGGGATTGTTGGCTTTGTTCTTGCGCTACCTGCACAAATGGGAGAACAAGAAGTTGGAGAAGGCCGAGGCGGAAGAGGCTGAGAACCCAGAGACTGCGGCTGTTGCGGCGTCGGGTGATAGAAGAGCGGCGGGGTTCAGGTACATCTACTGAGCTCAGAAGGATTAGCTAGTCTCGAGATAAATAGTGGTTACTTGACTGTTTATATTTTTGGCTGCATTGTGGCGCTCCCCGTCGTGATATCCCCCTTCCGTAGGAAGAAAGGGGCATAATATAAACGGTGGAAATGAGGAGTCGGTAACTTCAGTCGAAGAAGGTAAAATTTGATCGATTGCCCAAACGCCAGATGCTTAAACTCCGAACCATAGATGCAGACAAAACAACACCGAGTAGCTTTTTGCTTTTGACTCTCAACAACAACAACACTATCCCATCAGTTCTACACCATTCCGTATCGCACCCACTACCGCACCAGTCTGGATCACCTCTCCGGCTCCGCTCGCTACCCGATGCTCAATCTTGGCAAGTTCATCAAGCCATGTGATCATGACCTGCGGCTTGACTTCCAGCTTGATGATCTCTTCCGACAGAGCGGTGATAATGTCGGCAAGGGCCAAACCTTGTGCAACCTTGAGGGTGTTGATAGTCGACAGACAGGTTGTGACGTCGCTCGTGCTCAAAAGTGTGCTGAGAATCTTTTTGATGGCGTCGGGTGGTGGCGCGGCAACGCAGTCGTAGATGGTTCGAATGGTGATGGTCTCCCGTACAATGTCCTTTTCGGCGATCTTGGGGGCGTTCTTTGGTTGAAGGGGTGTACCTGGTTGACCTGGGTTAGCTTCTGGGCCCGCAACAGAAAGCGAGACGAGGACACCACCACTTACTTGACGCGTGGCAAGCCTGTAGGACGTTTAACGCCCGACGCATATCACCCTTGCTCAACCGCACCAGCGCATCGGTAGCATCTGGCAGAATCTTGACATTTTCCTCGTCAATGACCTTGTCCACCAAGACACGAATATCCTTTTCTTTTAGAGGGCTGAAACGGAACCGTGTGCATCTCGACAGGAGGGCTGGGCTGAGCTTGTGGGAGTAATTGGCAATGATGCAGAAGCGAGTGTTGGCCGTGTACTTTTCCATGATGCGACGGAGGGCCATCTGCGCTGTGGACGTCATGGCATCAGCCTCGTCGAGAATGATGAGCTTGAAACCAGCCAGCCCCGAGCGCGAAGAGGAGGAGCCGAGGGAGAAGATCTGCTTGGTGGAGGCAAAGGTCTTGATTTGCTCGCGCACAACGTCGATACCACGGTCATCGGAAGCGTTCAACTCGAGCACCATCTGGCGCATGTTTGCGGTGCCATAGATTTGTCGGGCCAGGGCAAGAACGGTTGATGTTTTACCGGTACCAGGAGGACCGTAGAAAAGGAGATGAGGGAGTCGGTTCGTGTCGACAAACTTGTTGATGGTTGCGAGAATGTCTTGTTGGCCAGACACATCGGAGAGAGATACGGGGCGGTACTTTTCGACCCTATCACAGGGTGGTTAGACATTGAATGGATTAACTAAAGTGAATAGGGGGCGATTCCTACCATGGGAGACTGTCTTCTGCTTCAACGGGCAGATTGCCGGCGCTTCGCTTGCCCTTGGCCGTATTGGTGGCGGCGAACATGACGTCCTTGGACACTGGGACATCAATGTCCATTTCGTCTTCAAAGTCCGACATGGTGGTAGAATTGGGCTGAGTTGCTGATTTCGAAGCTGATGTGATCCGAAGTCTACTTTGGAGATTTTGCGCCGACGTGAACTTCGTTTTTTGTTGGTGTTTTTGACTTGGTGACGCTGGGAAAGTTAATCTGGGAAAACGCGTCGAGAGGAAGGACAGACGCGTCAGGCAACAGGCCCCTCGTGTGGCTGGTTAATTGGTTTTGGGCGCTGAGCCACACACTGTTAGTGGAGCACTGTCACCCGAGCCACAGTTTGGTGAAGCTCAACTGTTCTTCATCCTTTCAGTTTCTTCAACTTTACAACCTCAAAGGCTCACCCTCACTTCACTCTCCTTGTTCTCTAGTATGGAATATCTTCACATGAGGACATCCTCTTCTCTTAGTGAACTAAGTTTACTGCCCCCTTCCCAATGAAATTGAACCACCAATCACATCAACGTTCCCACTCCAGTTCTGGGTCGCGACGCCAATATTGAGGATGCCCGACCAGGTGACTCCTTTGTCTACCAGCCTCATCACTCCGTCTCATCCCAACTCAAACCTCTCCCACTTCTCTTCAACTCGATCCCAGGCATCTCTGTACATTCGACCCACACCCGCACGCTCAATGCGAACCCGACCATCTGTCCCTGGATCATCCTTCCGTTCCATCATCATGACGTTGACCACGGCTCTCTTCTCGGCTGTTGCCGCTTGCACCAGTTCCTCTTGCTCGAACTTGTCTGCGTCCGAAAGAAGAATGAACTCGTGTGTAACCTTTGAAATAAGACTCAACCGACGTTCAACAAACTTTTTCCGGTGGGACCATGACAACCATATTGATCCAATCCACTCGTGATCACCTCCCTCAGGATTCGTCACATGTGTGATGGCATACCGCGTCAACCGTGTTGGCCGGACCCGAGGTAGTGGGGGGACCGCATCCTCATTACCTCGGTCCTCAATCATGAGTCTGAATCGGGCGACGCGAGCCTTCAGGTGTAAAAAGTAGGGATCTGGGCCAAGGCTGATTTGTGTCTGATATCGACCACTGCTGTTGGCCGAAAAGTCAGCACCAGAGTCGTAGTAGACTGGTATTATCCACCCGGCCCATGCCCAACTTGGCCACAAGGGTCTCGCTTTCCTCTCATCCACATGAATTCTCTTCGGCTCTCGTCGTGGTCGCCAGAGAAGCCCCGGATGCAGAAGCTCACCTGTGGGCATCCCGTGCACAAACTCGACATTCTGAGAAAAGAAATGATCTTTGATCACGTTCAAGATACCCTGGATTCCATTCACACGGTCGGTTATGAATGTCATATTGCGACATGTGTATTGCCCTACCAGCTCGGGATATCGCTTGAGCTGGAACTTCAAATTAGGACGCAACTCAACCGTGGGAGGAACTTCACTCGGGACAATACTGAAGTTTACCACTTGGTCAGCGGCGGTCAAGTCCAGGTCCCGACACTCGGCCGCAAAGTCTTCACTCCAAGTGGCTCGTTGACACTGGAAGTGTACCGTGTCATCGACAAAGTACATGTAGCGCAGGGACAGAATACGCTCCTGGTACGTCCATCCTCTCTCTTCCCATGTTGTTTTAAGCAGCGCATCCGGCCAGGCAACAGAGCGATTCACGATGCCAAGGTCTTCTGAGATCTTGACTTCTTTCTGTCGGGCTTCCCGCGTCCCAGCCTCTACCCCAGGCAGACCAGCGTTCGCATCCTCTGCACTGGCAGCCACTACGGTAAGGTCCGCGTATTGGTAGATCTTTCCCATCTGCCCTATTTGGTGCCTCTTATCAAGGTTCTTGTAGGTGTCGGTGTCATCGTCCTGGATGATGCAGATGGAGTCGATCCAGATGTAACGATATCCACTTCTTTGCGCCAGCGTCATTGCGTCCCTTATTGAGCGCGGAAACAATGACTTCTTTTTCTCTATCCCACCAGGAAGTCTCAGCGCGTCGATATCTTTTTCACAGGTCTTGAAGACTTTCACCCGACCCCAGACGTAGCTCAGTGCCACGTACGGTACAAGATCGTTTCTTTCGACCAAGCAGTTCTCCTCGAGGTCAATGAGTCGGATAAATGGGTAGAATGTGGGTAATGCACTCTGCTGTCTCATCCAGTGGGAGCACTCCGCTCCATGCCATTCCCTGCAAGATTTCAGCCAGGTCCTGACAAGATCTACATCGATCTGACCTTGGTTGAGAAGTCTCCCTTGGAATAGTTCCCCCTTTTTGCCAATCGGCACGAGGTCGAAAGGTGTAAATGCCGGCGCTCTTCCGATCATAATCGACCGAACCGTGAGCCTCAATGTTTCCCACGTCTCCATGCCCCCTACTCCGTCAGACAGGTCATGATTGGGCGAAGCTTTCTTCTTCCACCGCACGTCTCCGACCCAGCTCATGACTATATCAGCCTGATCTGTCCAAGCGATATCTTTGCAAACTTCAGCAATCAGCTGACACAACTTGCACCACGATCGCCGTGCCGCTACCTCATCATAGGTCCCGAGATGCCATTCTGGAGGAAGTTGCTGGGTAAATGGCCGAGGTCCAAAATCGGCGAGTCTGAGGTCCATGAGACGGTGCCGGGCGCAGAGACCAAGGGTCGCATCTTCCGGTGGAAGGTCTAGCGGCCGATTCCATGCTCGGCGTGGTGTGTCTGTTGTTTGGAAAATATCATCATGGTGAGTCTCGAGTCGGGCGACCTCTTGACCTGGTGGAGGGATATAGTCGCGGTCCCTCGGCGTGTAGGTAAGTGGCATCGTTGTGGTTCAGACAAAATTTGAGCGGTATGCGAGTTGTGTGACAGAAACAGCTGCGGCTTGAAGAGGCTCATTGAAGAGCCCAATGCAACCTCAAAGTCCTGGGTGACTGTGAGGCTTTGAAGGAGAAGATTGGGGATGACTCGGCCCAACCTTACTTATATCCACGCCAACAGCACAAAATCCCGTGGGACCCCGCTGTGACACACTCACAAGTTAGGCAAGTTAAAAGATCAGCCCCAACTAAAGCCGTGGCGCAGCTGAGCCTCAAAAATACCCACTTCCAGCTCATTGGGTATACCATGATCACGAAATCTCAACGTCGCTGCTCGACATTGCTATCTGTCTCGAAAATGGAGTCGTTTTCAACAACTCAGATAACAAAGCGAGGGATACGCTTCCAAACATGACGCTGATTTGGGTATAGGGTACACTTCATTGGACAGACACGGGGTCCCCATTTGACACATCGAGAGAGACGATAGCGGAAGTATAGTCTGGAGAAAACAAAACGGCATCTATGCCCAAATCTAAGTAGCTGAAGGACGCAAAGCCCTTAGACGGCTGAGTGTTCACACAGCCCCGCATAGCAAGTCACCACCTCCTTCTCCTAGGCCGCAACTTCCTCCACCACTCCTTCCGCCATTCCAGCCACCACGTTGAGCTTGTGACACTACAAACCAGAAACACCACCACCGTCATGGGCACCGAAAACGCTACCCAGATCCAGAAACTCTTTTGAATAACCCCGTCTCCTTCTCCTCTTCCACCACCTCCACCTCCGCCTTCTCCGCCCCCTCGACCCGGAGAGTCATAACCGTCGACAGCCTCCCACCTGAAAGCCGGCAACGCAAAAAGCGTAGCAAAGAAAGTCGCCGGCAGAAAAGCCATGGTCATGACGGCTATAACACGCATAGAGGAGGCCTCTCGGTGGTTTGTAGACGCGTCAGTGCGCGAGATCCTCGCCATTAGCACGTTGGTCCACACCACTGCCTCTTTCTGGCGACAAGTCCAACCAAAAATACGAGCTTTAAGTTGAGGAATAATAAACTCGCGAACCACAAGACGAATCTCGGCATTCGCTTCCTCCGTAACAGGATCCACAGCATCAGCACCAAAAGTCAGTCTTCGCCAAAGTTTCCGCCCCTTCAGCTGCCTTGCCATCCGCAACGCCAATCTAAGCGCCGACTTGGCCTCCTGCGCCTGTGTAACTACCCTTCCCAGCTCTCTACACCGTCTCGACAGCGTCTCCATCAACACCGGCGACAATTCCATTGCGTCCGTATATATTTCATCTGAGGCCTTTGCCCCTTGTTCTTCTTCCCCATCCCTCCCCTTTTTCTTCTTTTTCATCTCCCTCCCATTTTCTTCCCTCCCCCCTTGTCCAGAGACATCCCCCCTCCAAACAACACCCCTCGCCATATCCGCCACCACCACCACACACCCCCCCGCACTCGCCAACACATCTCTAAACCCCCAGATATGATGCTTGACAACAGCAAACTTGTATTTCATCCTTTCGTCCACTAGACAGATACCCAGCGTCACTCTGCGCAAGACGTTGTAGCTCCAGATGGTGGTAACGTCGTTGGAGCGCATGTAGAACCTTTGTGTCTGTTCATCTGACGGCCCGAGTTTTCCCTGGGAGGAAGAAGAGGAAGAGGAAGTAGAGCTGTGGCTGTGGCAGTTGAGAACGTGGAAGCCGGGCGTGTGGGTGTGGTGGAGGTAGAGGGCGTGGGGGTCGAGGTTGAGATGGCGAAAAAGGAGGAGGAGGAGGGGAGGGGGTATGAGGAGGGAGGAGGAGCGGTGGGGGGAGTGGGGGATGTGTAGGAGGCGGAGGAAGGCTTTGGGTTTGGGGTTGGGTTTGAGATCAGCGGAGGTGGTGGTGGTGCTGGAGAGTGAAGGGGGTCGAGGGTCGAAGTCAGGGCTGGGGAGGGAGGAGGAACCGGAAGTGGAGGGGGGAAGAGGTGAAAGCGGTGTTGGTTTCGTGAGTAAGTCCTCGAGGGCGCGGGATTTGAGGAGAGATTGGGGGATAGTGGAAATGCCCCAGGAGGTGAAAGTGGAATCGGGCCAGGAGACGATACCGAATTCCTGGATGAGCGGTTCAGAGTTGTTGAAAGAGAGGATAGGCGGCCAGGTGTCGGGATCAGAGTTGTGGTCGAGGTCAAGGTTGGAGGTGGGCAGACCAGCTGCTTCGTGGGCTAGGTGGCGGAAGCCGTTCATCGGGACTTTTGGACGAGGTTCTTTCTTTAAGACGACAAAAAGCGAAATGGAGATGACAGTGACGGTAATGGTTCAAGTGATACCCTGAACCTATATACCCCATTACAATCCCAATCCACATCTAGTCCCGCGAACCAAAACGACGGAACACTGCATCTCTTATACTTCCCAATCCCAATCCCCACCCCCAAAAGTCCAAAAGGCAAGACATCGCACCCTCGAACCACGGTTCATGCCCCACCACCGGGCACCACCGGACCTCTCCGTCCATTTAACATGAACACAGCCTTTGACAGCATCGTACACTCAGAATCATGCATGCAAGTAGCCTGACCGCCGGCCTAGGTAGGTAGATATGTCTCGATCATCCCCTTTCACCAAGGTCCGCATTGTGAACCCCCCTCTCTCCCAAGGCAAGGCGTCAGGTTCCCCTTGTGTTATGTTACGCCTGTAGGGGCGGTAGGCGTAAACTGATGCAGAAGAAGAAGAGGAAGCAAACAGCGAGGGTCGTTTTGTAAGGCTGTCGAGACAAGTGGGACAAGTAGGACAAGTAGGACAAAGGAAGACGGCAGGCAGGGGGGTTATGCAGGATTCCTTTTGGTTCCGAGACGAGACGAGGAGGGGAAGGGTGGAGGAAAGATCGGTGAGAGGATAAAATGAAGGAAACTACCTAGGTACGAAAGATTTCGTGGCTTTGTATGGGTATTTAGGTTGAGTCCTTCTACTGTGTAGTGGAGAGATGAAGCTCAGGTTTTGGGAAGTGATGAGGGGGGTGGTTTCGTTGGGTCTCAGCTAGTTTCGTCGAACACAAAGGGCCCGGTCGACTTGACTGAGTGAACGAGTTTGAACTGGTGTCGGTACATATGATTTCAAGTTGTTCTTTAGGGAGCATCTACTTATACTAACGGGTCACTAACCATAAAGGCTTCTGGGTATATACACAGAGGCAGGCTTCTGCTCGGGTATATATCGTCCACTAGTCATTTGATACAGCGTTATTTTGTCGAGCATAGAGACGGGCTGACGGGAGAAGGATGTTAGAGACCATCACTACACTAAGCGGCTAGAGGAGTTTCATGGAGAACTATAACCATAAGTGAATGGAAGTTTGTCTCCGGGCGCAAAAAGGTAACGACCGCCCAGCTTCCTGCTCCAGGCAACTTCAACAGCGACGGCACTCAGCGGGGTTGAACCCATACGGTCGCAGGTGAACTCGCAAATGAGCAAGCGCTTGTAACAGTGATCATGACAAGCTGAAGAAAGAGAAAGAAAAAAAATGTGGACTTACAGCTACCGGGTTCGAACGCATAGCGTACAAGAGAGCCGGGGGACACAGGAGGAAGGAGTGGGGACCACGCGAACGTGCCCGCTGCACCAACCTACCAGCTTGCCACGAAAGTCGTCTTGGGAGAAGTAATACATATGCCCTACGACAAGGGCTGGTTTGCCGTCCAAGTCTAGATGCTATTGAAAGAGATCTTCACACTATTTTGATATCTTCGGCCAGATACATTCTGGGTTCCTCGAACAACCACATCAATCAATCACTCCCTCCTCCGCTCAACCTCCTCCTCGTCCCCCTCTCTCCCTTCCACCTGCTGCTCCCCCTCCTCATGCCTGTTCAACTTGATATTGATAAACATGGTAAAAATGCCCAAATCATACGTCAACCTCAGCGCACCTGCCACCACAAACGCCACCCAAAACCTTCCTCCGTCCGCCAACACGCCCGTGACACTCGGTCCCATAGTCGACGCGAGGGTCCTCAAAGTTCCCGTGATGCCCATGACTGCCGTCCTCTCTTCAGGCTTAACCACCGCGGCAATCAGCGCCGCTCTTGGCGCCTGGTCCATGTTGTTCAGCCCGACTCTGACCAACAGCAAGGCAAAAGTCGCCGTGACGCTCTTGGGCAGAGGGAAGAAGAGCACCGCGGCCGAGGATGGAATGTGCGTGAACACCATGGTGTTGACCAGGCCAATGTGTCGCGCCATCGGTCCCGCAAACACGGACGACAGAGCAGCAAGGAAGTAAGCGACAGACAGGAAGTCGCCCAGCATCGACTTGGGTAAATGGAACTTTTGGTCCATGTAGTACGTCGTCCAAGACATGGAGACCATACCATCCGCAAGGTTGTCGACCATGAGGAGAGCCCAAAGAATGAGCATGACGGAAAGCGTCGACCGGGAAATCTCCACTTTGAACCATCCCTTTTCCTTCTTCTTTGGTTCTTCTTCTTCTTCTTCCCTCTCTCCCCTCTCTCCCCTCTCTCCCCTCTCTTCCCTTCCCACAGCAGACGGCCCCGCCAACAACGGCTCCGTCTCCCTCGTCGCATCCGTCTCCGGCTCCAACACCTGCACCTGCACCCCCATTCCCTTTCCCTTTCCCTTCCTCCCCTTCCCCCCTCCCAACTCACACCGATCCGTCATCCCCCAAACCCCCGCAACATTAACAACACCCATAACCACATACCCCCAGAACACAGCATGATACGCCTCCCTCCCCTCCCACTTCCTCCCTTCCACCAAAAACTGAACCACCCATCCGGCAACCGCCGTCCCCGCACAACTCCCCGCACTACTCATAGCAACATACCACCCCAACACCTCCGCCCTCGTTTCCGCTTCCGTCAACTCACTCACCATACTCTCCTCAATAGCCCTAAACGGCCCAAAGTCGCCTCCCGTGGCACTAATCACCCCCACCACCGCCGCCGCCAACAACACAAAGTAATTTTCGCATGTAGCAAAGACAACACCGGAGCAAATCATCATGGTTGCGCCGATAAGCAAGGTGCGTCGTCTACCTAGACGGTCGGCGATGAGCGTGAGGAGGAGGGAGAGGAGGACGTCGCCTACGAGGGTCAGGGTCATGAAGAGGCCGATTTGGGTGTCGGAAAAGTGTAAGGAGGAAAAAAAGAGGGCGAGGATGAGGGAGGAGGCGCCGTAGGAGAGCATGCGGGTTGTGCGGTTGAGGATTATCAGGAGGGCGTCGTGGGGGGTGGAGAGGAGGGAGGGGAGGCCGGTGAGGGAGAGGAGGCGGGTGGTTATTGTTGGGGTGGTGGGCTGTTCTGGAGGCATTTTGAAGGGTTGGTTCGTTGTGTGGTTGTTGATTCTGTGAAAGGTTTGGTGGGTTGAGATGGTGGTGGTGGTGGTGGTGTTGGTTTTGAGGGTGTCGTACCCGGGTGTTACCCAGGTAGTAGTCTAATAGATGAAAAAGAGATGGATGAATGACCGGAGAATGACAGATAATTGTGAAAGTCGGGAAGTCAATGGCGAATATATAAAAACCAAGAGTTAAAAAATACTTTCTAAATATAATCGTGACAAAGAAAGTATACAAGAAACTGACGACGATGTTGACTCTACGATGTTGACTCCGACGTTGACTCAAACTTTTGAATCCTTCTCCGCTCGGAGCCGAACCGGCGATGATCAATTTTCAGTACATAGTATGTATCTCGTCACCGCTAACCCTGTTGGCGACATCCTTTGTATGACGCGTCCCATTTATGGAACCCTGAATGAGCCCTTCCTACCGTACCTTTCCCAAGAACCAGTTGATTCGGTTGGTCGGCGGCGGCGTCGGTCACTCGGTCATTGTCCGGATTTAACGACAGACACCATACAGTTAACTGTAACATCAACAGCAACAACAGCAACAACAATAACAATGACACTAACAACAATAACTACGTTTCGAAACCACATAAACAAAAACACCACCAGAAAAATCATGATTATACTATACTACACACACCCCTCTAACATAGGTAGCATTCCCACCACCAACCATACTCAACTATAGTACAACCCTCGCTTAACTCAATGACGTTGACGCATAATTCCAAAGGCCCCTTTGATCATGTCAGTGATACTCCTAAACACTCGCCCAAAGCCCTTCATCATCTTTCCCCTCCTCCTCTGTCCTATACGACTCCCCCCTCCTTACTTTCTCCGCCGCCTCTTTCGCAATCTCCCTGATGGGTCTCGACCCCAGAGTAAACGGGGTGTAGAAGAGGTAATCATCCGGGACGTTGCAAACCGTCTCTGTCCTCTCTTCTTCTGCTTCTTTTCCTACTTCCTCTGCTGCTGCCACCGGTTCCGCTGTGGTGGTTACTTCCTGCCTCCTCATCCTCCTCCTCCTCCTTCTCTTCGATCCTACCCCCTCCGCTTTAGCTTGCTTAGAAGCAGCAGCTTCAGCAGCAGCTTCAGCAAAAGCCTTCATCAACTCCGTAGCAGATTCCGTTTCCGTCTGAGAATCTGTAGTTTGCTGCATAACCAACCCCTCGTCTTCCAAGTCCAGCACCAGCTCCGTCTCCGACTTGACCGGCTTCACACATGGCTCCCATACTTTTTTATACCACTGAGTCATCGGCTTTTGGCCCAAGCCGTTGCCGTCGCTGAGGCCAGAGCTGCGCAGTTGGCCTTCTAACAGGGCCGAAGTAATGTAGTCGACCATGTCGTAGGTGATGAAGTCGCGTACTGGCGGCGGCTGGTTTTTGGGCTTTGCGTTCGCGTTCGTGTTCGGGTTAACGGCGATGTTTTCGGCAGATTTTGTTGTCTTCTTGCCGCTTGTAGAGCTACGTTTTGTCCCGTTCCCGTCTTCATCTTCGCTGTTCTGACCATCAAGTGACGTATCTACTACTTCGTCTTCTTCGGTGTTCAGATAAAACTCGTCCGGCCCAATGACATCCGATTTGTCCACCCACGCGTACAGCTTGTCCCCCATGACTTGGTTCCAGGTGTCCGTCAACTTGGCCGCGTTGCGCATCTGCTCGGCTTTCGAATGCGGATGCGGTGTTTCCGGGCGGTTGGAGTTCCATCCAGGAGCCATGGAGATGTCGAATAGGCTGGGGAAAAAGACGCGAAAGGTTTCGGGTTTCGACGACGAGTTTTGTGTCTGTGCCTTTTGTGCGGAGCCAGAAACGGGCTTGGTAGCCTCGCCGGATTTAGCTTTGTAGACCTCTGGATCTATGATCTTGATCGGACCGGCATTGGTCTTGCGTGAGAGATGGTTGGGGTTGGTAGACACCGCGATGGTATCTTTCGTTATGGTGCTCTCATAGAGACGCTCCATCTGTTCAATCACATGGTCGGTCAACTGATCAATGACCGCCTTGCCTGTGGCAATGGGGAGCGTGGCTAGTGACCAGACGTCCCATTGTCCCAAGTTAAAGACCCAGAGAGTCTCATTTGCTTTGGGGAGGGTGGTTGTGTTTTGCAATTCTAGGAAGGCCGTCACTTGGGCACTTAGGTCTGGTAACGCTTTGGACACGGGGAACAGTCGAGGCTGAAAGGTGTAATCGTAGCCTGGACCTTGGGACTTCTTCAGCTTTGTCGTGTTCTTGATCGTCTGCCTGACGGCTTCGACGTAGATATCCTTCGAAATGAGGGGGTGTGCCGGCGGGTGAAGGTTGGGAGGTATAAAGGAGAGGTAGTGGGAGCAGTTTAACTGGCAAGATCCACGTTAGCAACGATCAAGAGGTAAAGCGAGAAATGGGAACAGACTAACCTCGCGGCACATAAGCTCGGTCCAGCCAGGAGACCGCATCTCCTTCTCTCCCCGCGTCCAAGCAGGAGTCGCTACATCGTCCTCTCCAAAGACAACGACGCGGAGTCCGCCAGGGTGTTGTTGCGACTGAAACTCGTAGTGTGCCTTTTCGTCCTTGTTGTCTTCACTTTGGTTGTCAGACCAACGGAAGAGATCGTTTGAGGATAGGTCTTCGCCAACGCCCCTGCTGATGACGAGCAGAGTGGCGAGTACGAGAGTCGAGCCGACGATAAGTTGCAGTAAAAGTCTTGGTCCTTTGTGTAGTACTCGCGCTGAGAAGAAAGAAAGGAGCGCCTGAAAGTCACATGGCTTCATTGTGCCGGAGGGCTGGCCATGAAGAACCATGCCGCTGTAGGCGAGTTGGGTTGACGGCGGAGTGGTGGCAGAGTGTCCTCCAAAATTCGTGGTCGTGATGCGCTGCCGGGTATAGATGACTAGACAAGCGGGAGTAGTTGATGAGTTTCGAGTGGCGATGCTGTATTTGGGATGTAGTAACAAAGGTGGTGCCAATGCGAGGGATCACCGTGGGGTAAGGCGCATCAAGGAAGATGGCGTCAAGTGGAAGGTTCGGTCTTAAACGAGAGGCACCGGAGGGGCGGAAGTGTAGGGAACGAGATGGGTTCTGCCGAAGAGGTGATGGGATGTCCCGTGCACAGCGCCCTGTTGAACGGGACGATTCACCTGGTACCTGTATCTGACCTGAAGGTTGGGGTTGAAACGACGGCGAGATACGAGTGTCTGTGTTGCAATGGCCCGGGTCTGGATCAGCGCTCCGGGGGACGGCCCGTGCCAAGTCCCTGCCAAGACGGGACCTCAGGGGCAATCAATGGGGTTTCCACGGTCGCCAAGTCCTGGGAATCGGCGAAGATCCGGTGCCTAATTGTGAGGGAGCTCCGCTGTGGATTAGTGATTCGGTAGGTAGAGTAGAGACATAGAAAAGAAATGTGCATTCAGGACAAGTGAAATGCTACTCATCGGCGAGAAGCCGAGTAAAAGTAGAAAAGAACATACAATGCGCCGTCCAAGCGCAAGTCGAACTTTGTAAATGACCGATTCCCAGAGCGGATCCATACCCCCAGGCTTGCCTATTTCCGGACCCCCCTCGAAGCCACACCGGCGGCGCCCGGACGCGTCATGTATCGATAGCCAGGGTGAAGGCCGCGTAAGTGGTCTCCGCACGGCAAGAGCACTACGTACCTCTATGTATGCACTGCGGAGGGCGAGACGTAATGCTATCCCGATACCGATTCCGTTTTCCCATCAAGGAAACATGAAACACGCGCTTCGTCACCCGCCGCGTCCTCGGTTTCTCATCATCTAAGGCGCCTCGTCTCGAGCCATGCCCCCAAGATGGCCAACCCAGCAAATACCGGGAACATTTTGCCTTGAGGGAAGTCGGTGATGTCGCCGAACTCGGGATCGGTTCCTGCAGTGTTGGGATACAAGATGGCTGCCAGACCTGCGAACCAGTAGACACTTCCGAGGAAGCCCGCCGTGCGCAAAGAATCCTTCACCCGCTCACGCCTCTCAACCTGTACGGCCGGTGTGGGGACCGGGTCTGATTTGGGAACACGGCCGGATGGCAGCCAGGTGTAAAAGAGGGTTGCGAGACCCAGGACCACGGATAGGGTAATGGTTTGGCCACAATGAAATCTGTCAAGGCTGGTTCATTATGTGTTTTCCTGCAAGTATGTGACAAGACGGGCATACTTTGCATGTGGCTTCCAGGCCGGATTGAAGATGTGGGTTTCATTGTAGTCGGCCGCCGGGGCAGCAAAGAGGAGAATGAGGGCGTCGATAGTGAGGAGGATCTTGCCGAGCATGGTGATTCGTTTGTTTGGAGGTGATCTAGGTGGTCTATGTTTGGTATTGGCCGTTGAAAAGAAGACGAGACGTCGAGTAGAATGAAATGGTAGCCGTCATGTCTTTGCGTCCGGTTACTCAAAACCCGCAACTTCCTTTTATGTCACGAACGGGACACTGACAGTGGATTCATGCCGTCATGGTATCTAACAATTACGCATATTTCCACTGGAAGTAGCACATCATACCAAGTAACGCACTGGGTGTTTGGCAACATCACCACTTTCACAGTGAAGGCATTCGGCGTCGGTGGTGTTAATGAACACAATAAAAAGACTTGTCTGCGAGGAATCCATCTGAAGTGCGCGAGAATGAGTGAATGGCTTCCTCTTGGTTTCCTGATCACGGTCAGCTATCAAGCAAGCAAGGTTTTGTGACGGGCATCGTGGGACAAGAAGACCTCGTCCCATACATTTCAAGTTGTTAGTTGGTTGTGTTGAGCGGGAGATGGTGGGTGAAGCCCTAAAGAAGCCTGCCACAAAATGCCCTGGGCCGAAGGCGCTGTGGGCGAGCAATCCCTCCGCTGCCCTGGAGGCTGAAAGCGGTGCCGCCTTCCTCCCGCCGCCGGCCCCCCCGCAAAAACTCTCAAACCGCCCCCAAAACATGACACTGGATTCGCCGCCAACCAACCAACAACGAACCACCAAACAACCAACAACTAACCCATCCTCCTCCTACCCTCCAATTCCCTTTCGCAAATTGAAAACCGTAGCCTCAACTATTCAGGAATTGATCCATCCGTCTTCCAATATCACTTCATGCTCCTAATTATTGGCATTGCCTTCTGCGGCTTCTTCCCCGACCTCTCCCTGCTCCCTGCGCAAGAACCTCGATGGCTGCGCTGAATACAGGTAACCGTCCGGAGAAAGAGCGACGGTGAGTAACCCAACGACACCTCGTCCATCATGGTTTGCGATAGACAGGAAAACTGATTCCAAATCTCTCTCGATAAGGTTGACGGTTGATTGTCTCCTACAAACCTAGATGAGCCAGCGATTGCCCTGCGGAGGAATATCCTCACTGACGGCCCTGTCTCCGAACTCATCTCCGAAGTCCTACACTATAGGCGCCTCGGAGTCGCTGTCCCTCGATCGACGACAGCATGTCTATCGAAACCACAAAAAACATGATTTCACCAAGAAACGAAGCCGCCAAAAAATACAAGGCCGAATTTACAACGAGTGATTCGACATACCAGAACCCTCGTCGGCGCAAAAGGCGCTCGCTGAAAGGCCTGGCTGGCATGTATTCCATCCCAATGTCAGTGTCACGAGCCGCTGTTAGTGCAGCGGGGTTCCTGCAACCAACCCACTACACTCATTAACCCGGGCCCAGGGCGTGTGGTCCACGAGTCCTCCACGAGCCCCCCGGGCCACGAGTGTGACACCCCCCATGGGCACCGTCACACTGCTGCAATTCCGCCCGAGAAATGTTCGCTCTCCCAGTGACAGACAGCCGTCTCACACTTCATCCTAACAACATCATGAATACCTAACGACATTGTTCAGCAACTCGATATATACCAACAAAAATCAATCAATTCTAACTCGAACTTGTCCTCTCCGCAATTATTTCTCGCCAGAACGTACGTTTTCCGGAGACCAAAGCAGTAAAGAAGCCGCCCAAAACCAGTCGTCAAAACCTTTCACGACCCAGCACCATAACCAAGACGAAACAACCGTCGTTACACGGCCGGCCACGGTTCTCGTCCGCAAGCACCTCACCGTCGCGAGCAGCCAATGCTGCAAATCTCCGCTACTCTTCACGCAGCTTTTATCTCCCATATCCTCATCGACAAGAAAAAGACCAAAAAGAGATCGGAACGTCATCACAGATCCGTCATCAGTTACCTAGGCATCTCTAATCAGGCCGACTGACTCACAAACGCACATACATGGCTTCCTCCAAGTCATGGCCCACCTTCCTCTACTTCTTCACCCTTATCTGATCGATTCGATCCACTGAGTAGCTAATTGGCTGGTTGGTACCCTTGGGGGGGCGCAACAAAGGTCTGAAGCCGGCTGAAAAGCTTTCAATTCGGGATCGTCTACGTCTAGCGATGGTCATCAATCACTTCCGAAGGATTGAGGTTACCAGGAGGACAACAGATCCGACGACGACGACGACAACACGGACTAGGAAAAGGACAACTCTTCAGCGACAACACAGACAATGAGTGTCGACGATCGACTTGGATGATATCAACATCCATCAAGGACCAATGTCAACAACATCGCCCATGTCATGTCATATCTCCACGATAGCCAATGACAACACCAACAATAACACCATAAGTCACGAACGACCACCGATAACGATACAAGACAGAATCGACGTGAGTAAAAAAGCATCATCATTGTCTACCTACTAACACCCCCCTCCATCCACCCATCCATCCCATCATGCATTCTCCTTCCTTCCTTCCCTCCTAATCTGATCTGATCTTGCTTTTGAAAAGCGCAAGGCGCAGAGCAAAAAAAAAAAGAATAGAACTGCGAGAGAAAAAAGAAGAAAAAAAGCAACTTCATCACGAATCATTTCCATCATCATCACGCAGCATAAAACTCCGTTTCTTTTTTTTCCCTTGCAAGCAATCGATATCCTCCTATTATTTTTGTTCTTCTCTGCTCATTGTTTCTTCTTCTTTTCTTGTATTTATTTTTTCCTTCCCCCGCCAACTCCTCCTCCTCCTCCTCCAAAGTCATCATCCTCCGCTTAACCTCATGTTGTTATGAGAGTTTGGTTGTGGAAATGCAACGAAGCAACTTAAAAGAACGATGGATAGATGGCTAGCGTTCTATCAATTCACACTCTCTTTGCCACCCCTCCCCTCCCCCTGAGAGATGAACGATAAAAACTAAAACCACTGTTCTTCTTCTGTGCTAAGGTCCAAGCGGACACATAGTAACGCGCGCGCCGCTGCTAAGATACGATGCTGCTAATTGATCTTGCTACGGAAAAGGGAGATGGATAGAGACGAAAAAAAGTGACTCATACGGGGATGCCAAACCCGAATGATCAAGGTCTTTCTGAGGTAAAAGTCTCAAAGCTTTCTGGGCGTAGGATGGCGATAGTAGCAAGTCAAGAAGCCCTCAGGTAAGTGCTCCCACCGCAAAAGGTATGCCAGGGCAAGCTGAAGAGAGAACAGGCGAGGAGCATGGCATGACATACACAGATTATCCATAATGGATTTGGAGCAAGAAGGTAGCACATCGGACGGACCCCTCTGGAGCCCTGGTAAAGTGAGAGAGAGAGAGACCACCTTCTAGGCAAGGTGGGCCAAGTTTCGTTGGGCTGGAGAGCGAGCAGACCAAGTGGCCGGCAACTGTTTACTCCTCCTCGGAGCTCTCCTCATCCTCGCTGTCCTCCTCGCGATGGTGCTGCGGAGCGGGTTCAGCAGAAATCCTTCCCGTACCCTCGATCGACTCCAGAGGCTCTTGACTACCGGAGCC